TTTCTAAGTTTCGACAGTAAGGACCAAATTCTTACAATTTATTTTGTGCTGAATTCTTTAAAACAGGTACTTGTATTAGAAGGAAAATATATTTGATTTACACATACTCAGTCATTTCTGATATTGTCATTATTTTTCATTTCACTCCTGTTTTATCCATACTTACTACATGGTATAGGTGCAGTCAGTTGTGGCTTAATGTAAGCTATAAGTACGAATTAGCATTAAATACAGCTGTAGGTATGGCCGTGAGTTCAAATACTTTTTCGAGCAGGGATATAGACGATATTGTTAACAGACGGGAATTGAAATTTCACAGACAGGTTTATAATAATCCAATATTACAGATTTTTTAATACCCTAGAAAGTTTTCCAGCCTTGAAAATCAAGTGCACAGCTGCCTATTTCCCCCTGGCTTCCAGCTATTATCTACATTCCTTGTCAAGCCCGGGGTTTTGGTCTCACGTTTTTTTTTATGTACACTATACTCACATGTAAATTGATAGCAACACTGCAAGGATCACAAATTTTTCAAATGAATTCAAAGTTTATTGTTTCATGTAATGGTTATGAGTTGTTGTAAATGTACAATGTTTGTGCAGGAGGTCGAGGACTGGAGCCCCTGCTGGACCAACACTCAGGGTCTTAAAATAGTTGAGAAGAATATGCTACCTCTCTATAACATAAAGAAATGTTTAGATATTCTAGTTTTCTCGGATAGGGACAATGAAATGGAGGTCCTCTCTCCTGCAGGGTTAGGGGCAGGAGACGTTAATTTCCCACGAACGAGATTACTGTGTGATGGATGTCCTCCCTTGGGGTGGGGTGGGTGGTAAACAGGACCCCCATTGATAACAGTGTTTACAACACAGAAGGGGCTCTCCTGTATGTCTACTCTACTCTCTTCCAGATAGGAGGGGGTCTCAGGACAAATACTTGTATACACACATACCAAGTACAAGTTGATCCAGTACTGCTTGACAAATGACTAAAAACCTGTATAATGGGTTGTAAGGAATGTCAGTTGCATACAACCCATTATGTTGTATAATGCTTAATGTCATGATTAAGTATTGTTACTGCTTGACATCATAGCTATTAATAGGATCAATGGTTTTGATTTGAGCTATTGTAGCCTATAAAAATAATTTTACTCACTCAGATATTCTTTTCACAACTGCTCTAGCTTACATGTAAGTTTTGGAGAGGAATCGGGCTTTTCATTCATACCTTGACATTTTTCAAGTGGACAAACTTAGGCTTTGCTGCAGATTACAATACAATATAATTATTTTGAATCATCAATATGTTGATAGCATTGTTGGGAAATGACTGATCTTTAATGTAGTAATCAGTAAGTGTTATGTGGCTGTAAGGCGGTATTGACTGACATCACTGCACGTGATAAGTGCACATGGTTATATATTAATCATGAATCATATATGTTCTTTTACTGAGTTGCAGATGAATTAAGAGGGCTTACCTACCAACAGAAGAATAAGAAAGCATCTAAAAAGTGGAGAGAAAGAAGTGACATGGAGAAAAAAAAGTTTGTGGATTCTGCAAAAGTTAATTATCTTAATTTACAGTTTCATAG